TTGTTGACATGCACTTATCATGCAATCTATGTTTTCATCGTCACATATATCTAGAGTTGTATAATATTGATCATTTGTCCCAACTAAAATTCAAGAAATTAATCTAGAAATTATGTGACAACTTGACAATTTCAGTTTTGTGTGGATCTTCCATTTAAACATCTTAAGTGTGATTCCACGTTCTATCTTAATCTTCTTTTTTTGTCCTTAAAAAATTATACCCTCATTTCCTTCATATATTCTATCATTTGAATATAATATAACAATAATTTCATTCATCCTACATTAAAAATAAGCCAAGCTTATTTATAAATTAATTTATAATATAACAATATATATTTTTAAATTCATTTGTAATTACAAATATTTAAATATTTAATTTTTAACATTATATGTTATCTGCCTTTTTCTAAACATAACAACAAAAATTAAATTACAACATTAACACTTAAAAGCCATTAAAAATATAAATTAAATATTATTATTCAAAATAAAATTTCTATATAACTATTAAAAATAAATTATATATTCATAATACTTAAAATCTAACCTGATTGCTCAATAGTTATTATTTCTTGTCCAGCTCCACACTGCTCTTCCTTCCCCAGTCATTGCATTTCTTCTCGAGCTTCATCGTAGTATTTATATACACATTCTAATTTGGACAAAGGAATGTATCAAAATTTTTATCCATTGGTCGCATTAAAATCATCTCTGTTGTGGACAACACTAAAATCGTCCAACATATAACGACACAAGTTCCTAGGACGACAAGTGTCAGCATCACGTTAGTGTCGACTCAAACAAGGACGACACTATCACGTCAGCACATGTGTCGTCCCTCCTCTGGAGGACTTTATTATTGTCGGCTCATAACGAGACGACACTCTACACTTGTGTCGTCCCTGTGCTGGACGAATCTACTGCTACGTGGCCATCGAATTCTAAGAGGGAATTTGTTTGCATGCATGTCTAATTTGATATTTTGTTTTTAAATTAACTCCAAAACGGCAAAAAAGCCTAACCATAGAAACTAACAATAAAATTTTTATCAACTTTGTTTGGATAGTTGTAAGAGAGGAAAGAAATGGTTTGAATGGAGAAGAAGGGGATAATAAAGAGAAGGAATAAGGGTTAAACCTCTCCCTTATTTAGATTTTCTTATTAGAAGAGAGAGAATGATGGAAGTTGAATAATGTAAATAACATTATTGTTCTTTATATCTTTTATTTATATTTTTATATTTTTTAAATACAAAATTAATTTTTTATTTTTCTAAAAATTAATATTTTTTATAATTTTTTAAAATAATTCTCTTTAAAATTAACATATTTTAAAAAAATATTTTCTTTCTATTCTTTTTTTAAAAATTAACATCATACTTTTTTTAAAATGTTTATTTATTTTTACTATTTCATTCATTTAATAATAAAATTGAAGAAAAATGATAGACCAAATGAAAGAAAAATATTTTAAATTAATTGTAAAAAGGGATTAAGAAAAAAAAGAGATATATTAGTCATCTTAAAATTTTATTTAAAAAACTCTATAAATGAGAAACTCAAAAATCCAACCTTAAGAAAGTTTTGGAGGTTTAGAAAAAATTTCAAACTTTTCCTCTCATGATTAATTCACTTTTAAAAAAGGGTTAAACCCCACTAATTTATTCTTTCCCTTCCCTTTCCTCCAAGGCATATACAATGTCATCTTCATTTCAATGCTTCTCTCTTTAACTACTACACACATCTTACAGACTACCACTATCATAATAAAAATAAAATAAAATTTATATAGTATATATTTCTAATATAATAATTGATATTTTTTTCTATAGAAAAAATAAGGAAAAATATTTCTATTATTTCCTTTACAAATATTTAAAAATAAAATGAAAAATAAGATGACATTTTTAATTAAAAATGAAATAAAATTGAACATGCTCTTAACATTAAGCACAAATATAATTGGTTCAACCATTATTAATTAGACATGATGATAATCATGGTTTATAATTTTCTAGAAGTGTGAATTGGGATAACCTTAACTAATTTAGCTTTAACTCATTAAAAGTTTATAGGACTAAAAGCCTACATAGTTAAGTGAACTAACATTAACCTATAGACTAATTGCCTTTAAAAATATTATTATAATTTATTAAAAATATTTATTTTATATAACATGTTTTTATTATAAATTTATTAAAAATAAAATTACTTAAAAATAGATGAAGTATAATTAAATTTTAATAATATTAAATATTTATAATGAATTATTATTATTAAATAATATTAAATAAAATATAAAAAATTATTATCAAATTAAATTACATATTTATCTAATTTTTTTTGTTATTAATAATTATTAAATCATACTAACATTTTTCATTCGTATAATTTTATAAATAATTTTTTAGCATATTATTTTATATTTGAGTATTAACTATAAAATTCCTTAAGTTTTAATATTTTTATATTATTATATTTTATTTATTGATTTTTATAAAATTATTTTAAGAATATCACATACCCAATAAATATTTTAAAAGTCACAATAAAAATATAAAATTAACAACCAAAAATAACACTAACTAAATTTGTTAAGTCAAATATTATCAAAATATTTGAAATAATTTATTTAAATAAAATTTAATGAGGTACAAAAAATGCAACACTATCATCATGAAAATCATAGATATATGATACTTACAAAAAAATAACTTATAAACTTAGCAAAAATTAATGAATGTTTGCAAATTTAAATTTTAACCCATCTTAATTTAATAAAATTTATTTTTAAAGTAAAATAACTTATTTTGATAGATAGGGAGAGGGAGAGAATTAAATCCTAACATTTTGAAAATGTTAGAGACTAAATCGAAACAAAATTCTTTTTAATAAAGTATCATAAACGATGCTACTTTTATAATGACAAAATATAATTAAATTTATTTATTAATTATTCTCTAAAAAAGGTAGACTAAATCACCTCTAATTAAGGATGAAAATATGCTAGACTTTGCTAAGCAAGTCTTACCTATTTAATAATTTTAAAGTCTGACTTATTATTTATCATAAGTTTTTTATTAAATCTATCATGACTTGTTTAAAAACTTGATTTGACATATTTACCTTTTTAATATCTTACTTCATATTGTGATCTTTAATGGACTTAAGTCTCTTTATAAATAAGCTATCAAATCATATAAATAAGCATGTCTCTATAAAGACTGTAAAGTTTATATCTAAATACGTCATAAAAATGATATAACACTTTATATATTCTTATTTATCATTTTTAAACTACATATATAATTTAAATAAGTAAATTACTAAACATACTATAAATATAAATGTTATCAATGTTATGTGTACAAGACAAATCAAGCAAAAGTAACAAAAGATTCTAGCAAGCAATGCGCTCTCTCTTAAAGAGTATGTAATAGAGACACTTTTCAATTTCAGTAAAAATATTAAGGTTGTTAATTCAATATTTTATTCATCTAAAATTTAATTTTTTTATAAATATAATATTATAATTGTTATATAAAAATATTTAATATATTATTATAAATTTTATAAATCTTAGACTGTTCTAGCAAGCCTAATAGACCTTTCTCGTAAATTTAAGTCTCATCTATTCAATTAATTAGAACTTTTTGAAAGTTTAAACTTATTACTTAAATAGATCAAATTAGATTGAGTTTTAAAAATCTTAAGTTGTTCCTGTAAGACAGCCTAATATATTTTTATCTTTAACTCTAATCTTAATCCATCTTTTTTAATGTATTAAATTCTAAGATCAAAATAAGCTCATTACTTATAAGGCTTGAAAAAATAAAACTTTGTAGTGAGATATGTGGAATAGTCTATGAGCTATAGTTCATATTGAAAGCTCTAGAGTTTCCTTATCTCTGTGTCTTACAATATTTTTCTCTATTCCTAGAGGAACAATCATACGTTGAAAACATACAATTAATGTGGTTACAATATGTTGCATTAGTTGTGTTATGATAATCTAGCCCTCGTCATGTTTACGTAGCATGAGCAATGAGCTACAACATGAACTGATTTCCTCGGCTTGAAGCTGTGAGGATTGGGATGTTCTCATGCTTAGGTGTGAGATTCCGTTTGAAAGGTATTTTCTTTTAATATCTCATTTTTCTTTAATTTCTTCTGAATATATTATCCCTTTTTCTTGTATCTTCCAAAAATAAAATTTAGAATATATTAATTACGAAAATAAAACTTTTAAAGTCACTTCTAGAATTTAATTTTAAAAAATTACTCCAAAATCACTTCAAAACTATATTTATTGTCTTTCTCAAAACAGTTCCAAAGTACAAAAAGGTAAGGAAGTCAAAGTAAAAAAAACTAATAATTTAATTTAAATACATTGACAATATAAAAAAAATTATACTATCATCTAATCATAAATAATCATATAAGCAATAATCGTAATAATCAGTTTTTATATAATAATTAATATAAATATTATTTTCACGATGCATTTTAATTAGTTAAGCGTGTGAAAAATTTTAGTTTAACCTAACAGCAATTATTATTACTATTATCTACCTATTTCATAAAGGGATATGCGGTGCAACGGGATTATTTCAATGTCTCCGAATACCAAAATTTCTAACTGTACCAAGTAAAAATGGGTACTAAAGTCTGCATAACGGTCAATTTAGAAAAAACGACATTTGTTCATTCTCTGCCTCAGGCAGTGACTAGTTGCCTAGTCTCCTCAAGATACGAGCAAAAGGTCTTTATTATTATTATTATTATTGGGTCATGGGATATGAGTAAAGGTTATCTGAGATAAGATTCGATTTGAAAACTCAAGGTTGTGTTCAACAGGATCTCAATGAACTTTACTTAATTTTGATATAACCAGTTACCTGCTTGTTTCTAACCAGTTTGTTAAATGGTAACTGCTTCGCGATACTTTCCTTCATTTCTGTCATCGCTAAAAGAAATAAGATTCATCGTTTTGTTATAAATGGGAGGGGCACAGAAAGATTAATTACATTTGCATCAGTATCATAACAGGTTCTGTCAACTCCGTGATAAAAGTAATAAAATAAACGAGGTATAATTTACCAACGATGAATTTTGTAATAGAAGACTACAGAACAAGGTTGCTCGCAGTAAGTTAAATGTTATACAGTACCACTAACATTACATCTCGCTCTACAATGGACACGATAGCACACACTAAGTTCAAGGAATAACCATAATTTGCGGTGGCAATTGGCAGAAATTTTTATTCAAATTTCTTAATCAGTGATAGGTCATTTAACATTTTCTCAATTGCTTCATCATCTTGAGCTCGTCCTCTTGTCTGCAGGTCAAAAGAATGACGCAATTAATGTAAATGTTACTTTTGTTTATAATTCAAATATATTGTAAAATGTAACTTGAATAGCAGCTAGAAATCTGGAATGCCTATTCTATCTAACCAGCAAACACGCATAAAACCCCATCACAACAACCAACATGTAAGATCAGAAATCAAAACTAACAATAAAACATTGATTTATTAAGCGAGGTGAGCTACATGTATCACATGACATAGTAGCTTTTACTAAATATTTTATTTGCTCCCTTGTTCATTTGTAACAAGCATGAAAGGAAGAATAAACATCATTTGAAAATAAACCGAAGGTCAACCTGCCACCCTCCATTCCTCTCCCCATCTCTCCCCTCTCAAAAACAAAATCCAAACAACAGTTTTAAGGAAAAAGACGATTTTACAGTAGGGAGAAGCAAATGAATTTTACCTTGATAGATGGAACCATAGCAATAGCTTCTTCCACAGTCTCTGGACAAAGATTGCCAAGGACACACAGCTGCAATAAAATCATTTACAGAGAATCATATATTGTACTGTGAACTGAAATAAAATATGAACAATCACTTCCTAAACAAAATTCAAGAAGGAAATAAGCATATTACCTCAAACTCAGCCAATTGATATCTAGCAAGAATTCTTTATGTCAGTTAAGATCACAATTCATGGCATTAAATTTTCAAGTTTCCTAGCATTCCATTCCATGTAAAAGTAACTAACAACCATTTTTCTCAGGTGTACCAACTGAGATACAACAGTGCTTTAATTTATCAAAAGATAGATAGAGATAATACTAGAAAGAAAATACAAAACCAATATAGGCAACCGACAAGTCAATCAGGATATGAGAGAAAATAACGTCAATCATTAGTGTGACAGAACATGACATGGACACCAACATAATTTGAGTGGATCTAAATGTATGGAAAGGAAGCAATCGTAAATGTGTTCTTCAATTCAATTTTAAAGGATACTCTCTAACTTGTCTAACAGCATCAGGATTTTTATAGCGGCTGAAACGCTTCACATACTGCAATGACTTTTCAAATACCCTGAAAAAAGAGGGGAAAAAATTCAATGATATATAAGGTGCTAATTATGCACAGCAATATTGCTCCTTGTCTATCTCATTATCAATGTCAAATCTATTACTGGCAAGATGTCAATTGAGATCACGAAGTACACAGACATGCTTTACAATGTTAACATCCCTAATCATAGGACAGTTACATTAATGCAGAACACATGTTCCAGCAATTGTAGTAAAAGACAAGACCTAGTTTGGATTAACTTCTTAATAAGTACTTGTAAGAGACAAAAATAAGGAAGTAAAATGAATAAAACTTTTGCATAAGAAAAAATCAACTTACGCTCTACTATTCTTTTAGAGGCTCTCTCATTTAACATCTCCAAAACATAAGATGTATAAGTTGATTTTAACTTGTGAAAATAGTTTTTTTATTTTATTTGCTTACTTTCTTCTCCTAAAAGTGTTTATGTGCAAGTTTATCCAAATTAGGCCAATATCTTGGAGGAAATAAGTGCAAACTAGATTACATATGTCCTCTTCTTGAGAAAAAAACTAATTGCCCTTGGGGCATCAAAAAACATTATTCCAGGACCTTTATGCCAAATAAACATGAAGTGGATAAAGAATCTAAACTCACTGAGAAACTTGATTCATGGGATCATCAGATGTATGCTGAAGCTGCTCATACTTGTGTTCAAGAATCAATGAAACTTCACAGTTCATCAAGCACTTTGCCTTCAAAAACTCTGAAAAAAAAAAAAAACTATTTCATTAGTATGAAATCAAAAGGTGAATAATGATTATACCAAATTTAAATGAAATCAAACGATGTAAATTGTAATACAAAAGAATTGTATATGATAGAATCAATCAGATTCCCAATGATGTGATAAAAGAACTTTCTGCATGGTGCATGATGCAACCTGTACAGTGCTAGCCATCAACCAACCAAAGCAACCCCCATAACTTGTTACTCTCACATAGTCACATATAACAAACTAAAACATATGTCACTTCAGAATACCTCTAATAATGATATAGGACATGGTTGTAAAAGTATAAATAACAAACAAAAACAATAAATACTAGCCAAATTTGAAGTTTATTATGGACAAAAAAATAGAACACATTTAAATCGTACCTTAATTTAGATGTGGATTTATATATCAAACACATAAATCATCAACTTGCAAATTTTTCACATATAAATAGCACCGCTCAAACTTCAAAACCAAATGTATCGAAATACTAAGTACTAATTTTTCAGATAAAGATAATTATTAATTTACTTCCTACTTTATCTAAGATTCTAATCTCTACCCTTAGATTCTTCCTTCATATTCAATTCTCTTCCAGGTTGATTTTTCCTCAATCAGCGAACCCCATTTCCACAAAAAGGTCCACAATTGCAAGGGAGCACTGAACACTACTAATGACAGTAAAACGGCCACCCACTCCTTAAAAACCACTTCCAAACAACTTGACCATTAGATAACAGCCACACCTCAGCGTGTCAAAAACCAAAGCACCAACAAGATCTCGTATTTTTAAATATATATAGATCAAATCAAGGGATCCTCCGAGCCATATCGACGACAATTTGTACATATGGCACTGATCGTAGAGAAACTAATGAAACTCCTAGTAACAGCTTGGTGTTAAACATAACCATGGGTTTGTTGGCGTAACATGAAATATTTAAAATTTATGCAGGCTTTTTCAACAGAAACAAAATTATCAAGAGGTCACATATTTACAATTAAATTATTCCGATACATGTAACCCTATCTCTTATGTGAAAACGACACCACGTATATTGAATGTGAAAAATATCAAGGGTACAAAGAAGCAAATCAATTTGTATTTGAAAAAAAAAAAAAAAAAAAACACAAAAGAGTAAGAGAGAACGCGATTACCGTCTCCAATTTTAAGCTCTGCGGCGTTTTCTTCCTCTTCCCCAGACATGATTCAGAAAACGATTTACTGGGTAAGTGAGAAGAAGAAGCAAAAGAATTTGTAAACACAAGAACAGGGAAAAGCGATGGAGCGAAGGAACGAAACCCTTTCTATCATGGAATGTCAAACGCCCAGTGTCTGATATTTATAGGTGTTGTTAATAGGTTATAAATCTGATCATAAAAATAAATTTTAGATCATGAAAATATATTAAGGTTATGTTGGATTTTGTTAAAAAGAAATTTAAAATTTAAAACGATTTAAATTAACTGAAGGTAGTTTTAACTGAATATTTTATATTTTTTTAAAAAATTACTTGATATATAAAAAATTAATTTGTTTTATTGTTTTATATTTTTTAATTGAAACTTGTTTTATACAAAATATAAAATTGATGAAGAAAGATATAAAATAGAAGAACGATTTGAAACTAATACAAAATAAATAAAATTACAAATGTGTTAAAATAAATTTCTAAAAAAATAAAAATAAGATATAAATATGAAAGAAAATTATAAAAGTATAATTAAACATTGTAATTTAATAAATATATAATTTTTTTTGCTAATAAATATATAATTTTTTTGTTACATTATAGATATATAATTGTATAAGTACATGTGAAAAGTTAATTTTATAAATAAAAGTATACATGCTTACATAAATTTGATTTATTATTTTTTATTTTTTTTATTTTTAATTTTTTTTCAGTTCAATATTTGTGATTTACATTGAATCGATTTGGGAACATCCCTAATTGAAATTGCCAGATCAATGTCAACGACCTTATTGATTAATATAATATTTCCCCGTATTAGATCTTATTTTTTATTTATTTATTTTTTAAAAAACAGTATTTTTAATAGTTATATTAAAAAAATTTAAATTTTATTTTATTTTTTTAACATACTACGTGATTTCTCTTCTAATTATAATTTAATTTATTTTGTTAATTTATATTTTTTGAATATCAAAATTTTATTTTATTTAAAATTAATTTTATTTAAATTTTAAATCTTGATACATTAATCAAATTTAAGATACATAATTTCTAATAAATTAAATTTAAGATTAGTGTCCTCTTAATCAATCTTAACTTTTGTTGTAGCTTTAATTAATTGTACTTTTTTTAATTATTTAGGTTGAGTGAACTTTCTAAGCCAAAGAATCAAAATGGATAGATAGAAAATATCTTAATGGTCCACTTGGTATAGTTATTGATAATGAATTTTTAATAAATCCCTTTTAAATGTCTGATTTCATTAAAATAATATAATTTTTTAAGTAGAAAAATAGAATTTAAACTGATTTTGAATTACTTTAGTTTTGATAAAACTAATTGTAAGAACAAGAAATAGATTGATTTAAATCAATCTAAATGATCCATTGTTAAATAAATTGAGTTTGATTTTATGTCAAACTTATCTATGCACACCTTTAAACAATGATACAAATAAATTGAAGAATAAACCTAAAATATATTGTATTAGTCAACACTTATATATGTTTATAAAGGTTTCCTTAAAATTATAATTGGTAATTCTTACTTATCTTATCATTTTTCTATGTTTAATTTATGTTCCTTTTCATCTCAATTTCTAATGGCACTCTTGAGGTTGTTATCTAAAGTTCTCTACTCCATAGGTATTGCAGTTTTATATTAAGGTTTTATTTGGAAGCTTAAAGGGAGAAGGAATAAAATAATTTGAAGATAAAGAAAAAGATGAAAAGGGAGATAAAAAAAAGATTAATAAAAAATCTCCTAAACTAGAGAATCTTAAAAAAAATATAAATTTAAAAAGATTTTGGAGAGCTTATAATGTTATGTTAATATTTTTTTATTAATATTAATATCCTATTTTACTATGGACTAGCATCAAATAATTATTTAGATATATATTTTAAATTATTAATATTAATTATGATATTATTTATTAAATTTATATAACACTAAATAATAAATATATTATTGAATAGTTTGTGATGTGTTAAACTATTCAACCTTTATAATGCCTGAGAGATGTCCTCAAGTTTTATTTTGTGATCACTCTTCTCGGATTTAAGGAAAACACCTCATATCAATGTATTTATTTAAAAATTATAAGGAGTTATTTTATCATTTTAGTGTTATATATTGATGATATTTTTTGTGCTAGTAATTTTATTAAACTTTTGATTGAGACAAAATTAATGTTGAGTGACCACTTTGATATGAAAAATTTTAGTGATGCCTCAGTAATATTAGGCACCCAAATTTATAGTGATAGGTCACATAGCACTCTAGGATTGTCCCAAAAAGGATATATTGAAAAGATCCTAAAATGATTCACATGTATTCTTGTTCTTCATATGTTGCCACTGTTCAAAAGAGTAATAAACTCTCAATGCTCTCAAGATGAAAATAAAGAAATAAGCTAAGTCTCATATGCTTTAATTGTTGGTAGTTTAATGTATGCTCAAGTTTGAACTCATCTCGATATTCCTTTTGTTGTTAATGCTTTAGGAGATACTTAAGTGACCTGGGTTTGGGTCATTGGAAAGTCATTAATAAGGTTATAAGATATTTGCAGCGCATTAAAAAACTATATGTTGACATATATGAAATCTAATCAACTTAATATTATTGAAAGTACATCTAAGTCACTTGTGATATAATGTGATAATCCTGTTATTGTTTAATTTTTTCAAAATAATATGAGTTCTTCTTGCACAAAGTATTTTGATATTAAATATCTATTTATTAGATAAAAAATTAAGGAGTTTCAGACTCTCATTGAACATGAACACATTACTACAGAAAACATGTTAGTAGATACACTAACTAAGGGCTTGAATGTTGGAGTTTTCAAGATTCATGTAATTTATAAGAGTTTGGTTAAGTCTTTTGATATGTTAGATCAGTGAAAGTTTAAATTGTAATTTTCTCATCATTATTTTATTTTATTTTTGAGATATGAATGAATTAATGTTACTTATGTAATGGTATTTGATATAGCATTAAAATGCTTAGATCACCTTGATATTTCATGTTTTACGAAATATGAGCATATGATTTATATTTCTATAAGATACTTTATCTTGTAGTATTAATGCTTATATTTTTTAAAATTATTGGTTAATATATACTCTAACTATAATTGATATTTTGTTCTTAATAATTTAAACAATTTTGATAATTGACTAATGCTATCCATTGGGAGAATGTTATATTAATATTCTATTATTTTTTATTGTAAAAATTTTATTATATATAGATTAGTATTAATCAATTATTTATAATATATTTTTTTAAATTATTAATATCAATTATGATTTTATTTATTATATTTATATACAACCAATTAATAAATATATTATTAAGTAGTTTGTGATGAATTAAACTATTAAACCTTTTATGATACTTAAAAGAGGTCTCCTGATCTCATCTAGTGAATTAAGTAATTATCTCTCCATTAAACAAATATGTTTTCTCTTCTTTGACTCATTAAACAGAGAGTAATTTTCTATTAACTCAATCTCAATTTTTTACCTTAAAACAAATAATTAAAAACTTTAATAATTTGATGACAAGAACACATGTCTAACTTCATCTTTTAAATTGATTGCAAATTATTAAATAATTTAACATATAAAACCTCATTCTCATGTCTAAAATATCTTAATTAAGGGTTATTATCAAATAAATGCTCTATTTTTTTTTTTCAAAAATTCACTCCCAAACAAAGTTTAATTAATTACCTCCCCTATATGGTCCTCATAGAAAAATTCATGGTTGGGTACCATGGTCCCATTGCAACATCCATCCTAACTTTGGTAGGAAATTCAATGAAGTGGTAGCAGTTGTTCAAAGTGATAATAGTATGGAATTCACATGCATAAAAAATATTTTAAGGGTGCATGAAACATCTTGCATAGGAACCCCAAAAAATATGAAGAACATAGACACATACTCAATGTTGCTTGTGCACACCTATTTCAAGCTCATCTTCTCGTTAAATTTTTTTTTATTTGGGGGAGGGGGATGCATTTCAACTGCAAGTTATTTAATCAATTGACACCTACAACTATTTTGAATGATAAAACTCCATATAAAATGCTTTATAACAAGTCACCTTCACTTGACTATTTGCATGTATTTGGATGTTTGTGTTCTGTGCACAACCAAGATAATAAAGGGAACAAGTTTGTTAGTAGTAGTCAACAATGCATTTTTTTATGATATCCTTATGGATAAAAGAGATTGAGAGTGTATTATCTAGAGTTGGGTGTGTTTTTGATATCAAAGGCTGTGGTGTTTTGTGAATCTGAGTTCCCTTATGCCAATTTGTAACCTCAAATTACAAATTGAAATAATATTAATGATGATGAGAGAGAAGTATGTGGAGAAAGGAATGAGCAACTCATTGATAATTTTAAAGGAAATAAGCATAGGATATTTTTAAGAGAAGAATACACTTGTGTTGTTTACATGAAACTAAAACCAACAACCTCAAGATTGTACTGGAGGGGGTTCAAATGATGTTATGAACAAAGAGCTCTTGGGTTGAGAGCATCGTATCAAAATGGCATCTACTCGACCGATGGATTTTGTGACAAACATTGTTTGCAAACTAAACCTCTCTCCAAATTTATCTACTCTATTACAATCCTCGTATACGTCTTATCCTACAACACATTATGTGAATTATAATAACTATTCTATGTGCCATCGATATTTCTTGGTAGTTGTTATTGCAGGAATTGAACTTAAATCCTTTGGCGAGGCTATGAAGGATGAAAGGTGGAGGCAAGTCGTGCAACATGAAATATAAGCATTAGAAAATAATGACACCTAGACCATGGAAACATTGCCTCTAAGAAAGAAGTCTATTATATGCGAGTGGATGTATTGAATTAAATATAATTTTGATGGTTTTATTTGAAAGATTCAAAGTTAGGCTTGTAATTTTGGAGAACAATAAGGTTGAAGGCCTTGACTATGATGAAACCTTTGCACTAGTTGTGAACATGATGACTATATGTATTTTCCTCATTGCTATTAAAAAAATATTGAGAGTTACATCATATGTATGTTGATAATGCTTTCTTGCATGGCAATCTTGAATAAGTGTACATAAAGTTACCCCAATTATCATTCTCTAGGTGTACATAAGACATATGGAGATCACACATCTATATTGCAAATCATTAAAAATAAATAAATAATTTTAAAAATATTTTTATTTGTAAATAAAATATTTGAATTTATACTTGAATATTAAGATCGTACTGAAAGAGAATTTAAAATAGTGATAAGCTATGTATAATTTTTCTTATAATTTATTGGACAACTAAAGACAATGTAAATTATACATCAATGTCGCAAATAATTGTATAATAAAATGAAGAAATAAAATTAAGTAATTAAATGTTTAGTTATTTAATTTATCAAAGTTAGAAATATGATTCAAGAAAATTTAAATATGAAATTTATTTTAATGAAATTTTTTTTCAAATTGATTAATGAAGATAATTATTTAATAAAGATTAAAATATTATTTGATAAGTTTATATTACATAGAATCTAGGTAATATTAGTATACATAAGTCTTAATAATTTAAAATAAATAAATATAGAGACGATATACAATAACACTACAAATCGTTGCATTAATATGATGAAAATATTTTAATTAATTTAATTAATAAGTAGATAAATGAATTATTTATTATAATAGAGAATAGAGAAATATTTGAGAGGATATATTTTTAATTAAAAAATTATAGAAAGTATACTTAAATTACTGATATATATGTAATTAATCAAAGATGAATATAATTGAGTCTTAATAACTTACACTACTTAATAAATTAAATAGAATAATATTTTAAATGATAAATTTTGATTAAATAAAAACAATCATGTAACTGATTGATTTTAGAAGTTAGATTTAATTTTTTAATATAATAATATTGTATAAAACCTAAAGTAACATATTAATATATTTATTTTTGTAATAATTTAATTCAAATAAGTTAAATACATTTAAATTTAATTTGCAGTTTTGATATATTTGAGAGGTGCAACGATTAAGATAATTTTAAATGGTTAAATTCAAATTAATTAAATGTATTTATTTCTAATTTACTGTTTTGATATATTTCAAAATTGCAATGTTTAAAATAGTCTTAAATTCTAATATTAATTTTTATTTTAAATTTTATTATTAGAAACTGATAACGGATAGAATTAAGAAAATCTTTTAAACTTTAAATTAAGTTTATTATAAAAATAAAAAAATTTCTTTTTTTAATTTAAATTAAGTTTATTATAAAAATAAGTTTTTTTAATTAATGTTAATATAAAAGAAAAATAACTTTATAAAGTTATATATTGTAGTTCTTTCTTTCAAATAATTAATATTTTTATTAGTAATAATATTAATATATACTAATTAATTTTAATATTTTAAATAATTTAAACATTATCATAAAAATTTTATAAAGTCAATTTTTATTTTATAATTAATAATTATAATATTATATTATGACATAATAGCTTATTTGTGTCTTTTATTGTATTTTTTAAATTTTTATATATGTAAAAAATAGATGAGTTTTGGAAAGAAATTTGCCTTCATTTTTTTTATATATAAAAGTAAATAAGTTTTAGAGAAAAAGTTGCCTTTACATCTGCATTAATATTAACATATTAATGTATTTATTCTTGAAATAATGATTTAATTTAAATTAGTTAAATGCATTTATTTCTAATTTCCAAGTTTTGATATATTTGAGAGGTGCAACATATAAAGTAGTTTTAAATGATTTAATTCAAATTAGTTAAATTTATAGCTTTGATATATTGAGACCTGCAATGTTTAAGATAGTTTTAAATTTTAATATTAATATTTATTATAAATTTTTATTATTAGAAACTGATAACTAATAGAATTAGAAAAATCTTTTAAACTTGAAATTAAGTTTATTATCAAAATAAATTTTTTTTTTAATTTAAATTAAGTTTATCATAAGAATAAAAATTTTCTTTTTTTAATTAATATCAATATGAAAGAAAAATAACTTTATAAAGTTATATATTGTAGTTCTTTCTTTTAAATAATTAATATTTTTATTAGTAATAATATTAATATATACTAATTAATTTTAACCTTTAAAATAATTTAAATATTATCATAAAAATTTTATAGAGTCATTTTTTTTATTTTATAATTAATAATTATAATATTATATTATGACATAATAACTTATCTGTGTCTTTTATTGTATTTTCCAAATCTTAAAGTGAGAAAAAAATTATATTTTATTTGGTATATATAACAGAAAGTACAATTTGTTTGTTCGAAATAAAATTCTTCCAAAATGGCACCTATTATTTCAATGTTGTCTAAAATACAACTTGAAAAAGTAGATTGGAGGATAATAGTTTAAATAATTTATTTGTAGTTTTCTTAAGAGTTTATAAATAAAAGTTAAGTCAATAGCATAGATATGATTTTATTCAATGAAAAGGTGAAGCTTTTAGATTGCTTTAGACGAAGTGCATGAAAATTTCTTATTATTTAATTTAATGTTTTCATCTTCTCTTATTATTTTAAAATTCAAGGATTTATTATACTTTTAAAAAGGATATTATATCACCTTATGAAAAACTACTCTATGAAGGCAATGTAGATTGGAGGATAATGGTTCAAATCATTCATTTGTGGTTTTTCAATTTTCTTATGAGTTTAGAAATATGAGTCAAATTAATAGCATGAATATGATATTAGTTGATAAAAAGGTGAAGTTGTTAGATTTCTTTAGACGAAGTGCATAAAAATTTCTTATTATCTAATTTAATTCCTTTATCTTCTCTCATTATTTTAAAATTCAGAGATATTTCATTATACTGTTAGAAAGGATATTACATCACGTTATAAAAAAATACTCTATGAAAGCAATGTGTATATCATGAAAATTTTTATGTTAATTACTCCTGAAAAAAATATGTGAACCACTAAACACAAATAAAAGTTACATTTGATGGCAACTACCAAAGTTTCAGATGTCAAATGTGACAATATCTCTTTTAACTGTTTTAATTTTGTTGTATTTTCAAAAATTTTAAGTAGGCTGAATGAACTATATCTAATTGGTGAGTTTTACTTTTTCTAATTTTAATCGTTTTCATATTCAACCATGTATGCTACTTTATTATTTTAAAAGAATGTTTGACACGTGTTCAATTAGATGACATTGGTCACGTGGTTGAGAAAGATAATATCAAAAAGACAAAAAAAATAAAAAAAACATATTGATTTGGTTCTCCAAGACTTAGAGTGAATATTATTTTACAACATATTTCAATGACTAAAACATTTGTTATTTATTTTCTTTCTTTTATTATTTTATACTAATTAAATGTTATATTATATTAAATTTATTTCGTAAGAATCAGAGAATTGTTTATATTTTATGAGAAGAGTTTGCTTATTAGAAGCAATATTAAGAGGTGAAACCAACCCAACCACTACGGGTAGACGCATCGTGCTCCCTTCATCATTTGCTGAGGTACTCGATATATGTTTCAAAATTACCAAAATGTTATGGGAATTTGGAGATGGGTAAGATATTCTGACTTATTCATTACATTCACCTGCAATAAAATATGGCTTGAGTTGTGTAAAATTTTAAAAAAGTTGAAAATAAACTTGAAAGATCAAGTTGATTTATTATTATTAAGATTTACAATATTTAAAGTTATATATAAATTAATTTTAACTGTTATATTTATTTTTTATAGATTTTTTAAAAAATAATCAAAATTTTCACTTGACATTTTTTATGTTTTTGTTATATTAAAAATAATTATTTTTATATATTTGTATAAATCCGTGCAACACATAAGCATATATACTAGACATAAGAGAATTAATACTTTTTATATTTAAATTGTGTATTATATAATTTTATAAAATAAGATATTTTTTTAGTATTTATAAATATAGTTAATATTTATTTTATTTCTTCAATAGTTTTAATCTTAAAAAATTTTAAATATATTAAAATTAATTTTTTATTATTGATTATTAATGTTGTGGTATATATATATATATATGCATGTTATATTATTACAAATTAATTATAAGGGTCATTTTTAAACTTTATAGAACCAAAATTATTATTTTATAAATTAAAATAATATTTGAATCTAATTCCTTTACTTTTAAAGTTAATATACAAATATTTAAAAATATATTGTAAGTCTTAATGTAATATATGAAATATTTTTATCAGTAATAATATTAATATATATTAATTAATTTTAATTTTTAAAATAACTTAAATATTGTCATAAATATTTTATAATTATTAATTATAACATTATATTATAACATAATAATTTATTTGTGTGTACGAGTCACTTTTTAGTATATAAAGAATTCATTAAAATACTTGATAGACTTAGTCGTAATTCTTGACTTCTTTATTTGCACTTTTTTTTCCTCTTTATGTTTAAAAATAAATATTAATTTATGAGTTTAATTATTTGTAATATTTTATTTTTTAATTTTAAAATCAAATATAAATATTTTATTTTATTTAAACAAATTTTAATTTTTTAAAAATATTTTATTTTAATTTTTTTTATAAAAATAAATTCAAAATTTTAAAAAATAAATACAAATTTTTTTATACATGATAAAGAACGTTATTTTGTTTATTTATTTATTTATTTTTCCCATCATCATTGATGGAATCTAAAGCAATCTCATTTGGCCAATCAAACGCATCTGTGTCGCAATTACATGCCCGACCCGTCACAGAATCATCGCGGCTCAAGTACCCGAAGCTTGACAAAGAAAGCGAGTCAACAACAATTTCCACGCCTTTTCGTCTTCGTTTTTCGTCTTCCCCTCGAAAATTCTCCACAATTCCCTTTCCCATTTCCTCTGCTCCTTCTGTAACCAATTCATAAATACCCACCCAAACACATATTAATAATTATCATATATTTATATCTATCAAATATCTATACATACTTTTGTACATTAAATACATTTTCATCTATATTCCCGTGAGATAGAATTTTCCGTAGAGAGAATAAGCGAAATGGGACCAAACGCTGCGGCGGCGAAACAAGCGGAGAAACTCAGAATTGACGGCAATACTTACTTCAGAAAAGACCGTTTCGGAGCTGCCATCGATGCTTACACCGAGGTTTCTTTTTCTTCTTCTTCCAACCAGAAATTAACCCTTTGTAAATAAAAGAAAAAATAATTTTTTGTTGGATTTCACTTACACGGTGTTTTTTCTTTCGTTTTTTTTTTTTTTGGGTTTGAAGGCAATTACGCTGTGCCCCAATGTTCCGATTTATTGGACGAATCGTGCTTTATGCCATCTCAAGCGCAAGTATGTATGGGCACATACCTATACCTAACCATTTCAATTTTGCACATTTTTTTCTTTTATGTTTTGAAAATTTTCTTATATTTTTGTTTATGGTTTTGAATTACAAGTTTTTGCAATTTTAATTATTGCAATCTATTTATTTATTTATTTATTTGGTTTTTTTGTAGTGATTGGGAGAGAGTAGAGGGAGATTGTCGAAGGGCAATTCAGTTGGACAGCAATTCGGTTAAGGTTTTTGTGATTGATCTCCTTGTGATTTTGCAATTACTTTTGTCTTACACATGGTTGAGTTTGATTAATTATTTACCTTCTATCTATGGCTTCGTTTGGTGGTTTAAGCATATGGAATTTCCTTTTGAGTTGAGTGTGGTGTACATTTTGTTGTGTGTTGGCTTTGGGATACATACGTATTTATGCTTGTGTGATTCATGGCTTGCGAAACTTAATGATGGCCATAGGTTCTTGAAGTGTGAAATACGAAGCCCATGTACTAGAAAATGGGAAAGATTGAGACGGAATGCATATTTGATAATGATACGTGTGTGATAGTATTTTCCATATATATGTTTTTAAAATTTTAATGATTGATTCCTTTGAGATATGACTTTAATAATTTGAACGTCATTTTCTGTGTCCTCAAAGTTATAGTAAATAGTAGGCAATTATATAGAGTCAAGAGTCAAGACCTTGGTTGAATAGGGCGAATTATGCTTTTTTATTAACATGGATTGGAAAAAATATGTAATTTTGTGACGTGGTTAGAGGGGAAATAATTTACTCTGTTATGGGCAAGGGAAAGATGCAAGTAAGGGTAAATTTTAATTATCATCAATTGATATGATTATGTATTGATTATAAATTATGTCTATGTTTCAAATATTGTGCATTTATACAAAATATGTGTTTTTAAATTAATTTTAATGTATTTAGGTTAGGCTGCATAGTGCATTGTATCTTCAATTTCTGAGAATTTCTCATATCTCAATATCCAGAATCGAATTGTACTTGTGTCATATTAAGTATCAAGGCTTCATAGAATGTGAAGTAGTTTTTTGGGAAAACATTGATTAGCCTTAATTTTGAGAAATTTCTGATACATATTGTATTTCTGTCCAAGGTGGTGGACTCATACCACGCAAATCCTTTTATTTCAAATCTTTTTGATGCTATCCAAAATTTAAACAATTTTCTGGGTTGGATCAGCTGTGGCTTTCTAAATGAATTCCTTGATTTCTACAATTCTTCATTTCCTATCATTTCTTGAAGTGGTGAAACCTGCATGTCTTATGATAATTGCCAGTTACCCATAGGATCTATTATTTTCAGATGTTTTCTGGGAAATCTAAAGTGATCCTTTTCTTCAGTGGTTGGATTATGCAAAACAACAGATAGATTTTGAAAATTGAAGGACAAATTCTGTGCTTGGTAGAGCCAAAAATCAGAATGAAATGAGTCCATTTTTTAATGAAAAATAATGCTTTGTACTTACCTTTTTTAACAAAAATGGGAAAACCTCCATTGGTTATTTTTCAACACAACTAGCCCAAATTTATGAAAGGTTTCAGAAGTTGGCCTAGTTCCAAAGCAAGGAGTTTTCCTATTTTATTTCTCTTTAATCCAAGTGTTTCTGGTGTTGTATTCAATGTTTCAAGAGTTATTGTCAGGGTATGGAATAATTATGTTTGTATTATCTTGATTCTAGCTTGTGATATTCTTAATGCTTTTTGTTCACTAACTTGATGTTTTGGGGTTAAATTGTGAAATGTGTCATGCTTTTCATGAGACATGTAAGATGCAGATATTTGCTTTGAAGTCTAAACTCTAAACCACTAAGATGACGTACTTCTGTTTAAGTCTGGACATTTTGGACAGAACTTAAGCATTATTATTATTATTATTAAATTTTTTTATTAGTGATTTTCAGAGACATGTAAGATGCAAATATTTGCCTTAAAGTTTAAACCACTAAGATGATGTACATCTGTTCAAGTCTAGACATTTTGGACAAAACTTCAGCACTATTATCTTTTTTAATTTTTATATTAGTGATGCAAGAATTCTGAGCTGTGTGTCTAAACCATAGTTATTAATTCCCGATAGTGGCATCGGGTGGCCAGTTCTAAAACTGCTGTAGTGTGTAATACCAACAATTTTAGTTTTGGACATACCCCTGTTCCATTTATTTTGTTTCCATCTCCTACTTGTTCATGATACGTAGGGCTATCTACTGTGTGTAGTCTGAACTCCCTTGCCAAGGCTGAAGATACGAAGTTGTGGGATGCCCTACTATCAACCACAACCATGCTCTTTCTTCCCTCTATTTTGCCCTACATCTGCAATGAATTCTTCAAAAAGATCCCTCTAATGCTGTTCACTGATAGTTTCAGCGTTTTGCACTCCCCTGATGCCTCATGCATGATCTTGGAGTAATTCCCCAGCATCATCTCCATGGAATGATCCTTCTTCTTCCTTGTCATCTGTTTCCTCAACCACCAATAGAACATGAGGCTGCTGCTTGTTCATGGAAATGTGACCTGGACCATACTTTTCATTGCATCTAAAGCAAAACCCTTTTCCTGTACTTCTTCCTCCAACAGTTTCTTAAACTCACCTTCTCATCCCTTGAAAGATCATTGATCTTCCTGTTTGTTAAACTTACCATCAAACTTCCTTCCATGATGCTTGACTTTTTAGGGTTTTTTGGTCCTACCTAATATGTTATCATCTGAGAAGAGGATTAATTTCTGTATGAGGCATCTCCCATGCTATTACCCTGTACAGCACCTTCTCTCTGTCAATTCTCCAACCAAGATGCAGAAGCTTCAGTAATGACTTCACTGACTGTAACTTCAGTTCTACTACTTTCACCTATTCTTGCAACCCAATCAAGAAGATCCCCTTTAGAACCTCCGTATCTGCACCACAAATGGGGCCAGCATACAACTCAAACTGTTCTTAGTATTCCTCCACAGTTCCCATGTTTCAGCCCCATCAAAGGCTAATATGGATTTTTGGTCAGTGTAGGTTGAAACCTCCCAAGTCGCTGCCGTCCTGAACTCTGCTCAAGAATGCTTCTTGGTGAAAATTCCCACCAATGGAAGAAGAAAGTATATATTATAAGAAATAAATGTGGGCCTTCCCTTCCATAACCAATGCTACTGCAAATAATTCTACCTCCGTGATTACTCCGTTTAACTCAAAATGTTGTTCCAATATGTTTATCCATCCGTATGTGTCTTCTTCATATAACAGGAATTTCTAGGTTCTTCCACTTCTCATCATCACATACTCATTTCCTGATCTAGAACCCTTCTTGAAACTGTTCTGTTGAGTCCATTCTGATCACTGCTGAGTTGTTCATTTTCGGACCTATATGTTCTCCTTTCAAACTCTTTGTCACCCCATCCTTGCAAATCTCAGTTCCTTCATGCTTTTCGGTGTATGACTTTCGATCATACTCAACAGAGAGTCAAGACTTTTCTCCTAGAATTCCAGATGTGACTCCATCCTTGTGTGTACAATGTAAAGCCCTTGATATGAGGAGCTCTATACCTTTTGATAAAACTGGCTCAGAGTAAGAACAAAGAAAAGAATAGTATTTTAAGGAAAAGCCTTCACCATATTAGGTTTAAATAAAAGGCTTAATTAATTTAATTGAATATGCTAAGTTTGAGCTTAAGAAAAATCCTATTAGGCCTAATGAAATGACCTATTTAAAATTTATAATAATATGTAAAATAATTTTCTATAAAAATTATAATATTATGTTAAATAAATTAAATTTTAAAATGAATAAAATCTTCAATTAAAAATTCTAATCCTTTTCGTTGGAGTTAGAGAGTACCTCTACTACATACGCTCTGAGAGATAATGCCGCTTGCTAGAGTATTTTGTGTTATTGTTTCTTAATCTGTCTTGTACGCATAATGTTCATTTACATTTATGTTTGTTATATGTTTAGTGATTTACTTATTTAAATCAAATATGTGGTTTGAAAATGATAAATATGAATATATAATTTCATTACAGATATTCAAGATGCTGAACCATTTTTTTTATAACTTATTTAGATATAAACCTTATGGCCTTTATAGAGACATATTTAAACGATTTGATTGATAGCCTATTTATAAAGAGACTTAATAGCCTATTAAAGGTCTTGATACGAAGTAAGTCATTAAAAAGGTTAACAAGCCAAATTAAGTTTTTAAAAAAGTTAGACTAGACTTAATAAAAAACTTATAATAGATAAAAGGTTAGGCTCAAATTTCAAAATTATTGAATAAGTCAAGTCTACTTATACAAAGCTTAACCTAGTCTATTTCTATTCTTTATAGGGATATCGTCAAGGCCAACTATTTTATCATTGTCCATCCTCTTAAGTGTTTCGTTTAATTCTCCAACTTAAATCTTACAGTAATATGCCATATTTAAATCATTTGTTTGTATTTTTAATCATGCTATATTTTCATTTGCTCCTTGTCTATAATTAAGAATTTTATAGAAATATTTCTCTTATATGTCTTTAATGTTTTAATCTGAAATCAAAATTTTTTCTTCTTCATCCTTAATACAACTAACTTGATTTGATTTAAATTTCTATACTTTCTTTCTCTACTTTTAACAAGTTTATAAATCTTTCTTTTACTAAACTTTGTCCCAAGATCTTGATAGAACTCTTCAAAAGCTTTAGAATGGGCTTCACTCACTATTTGTCTCATTTCTTGCATTCCAAAACCTTGCCCAACTTTCAACATTGTTGCAAGTATGCAAATTTTAAAAACACATATGCTTGTCTCTAATCTTCTCATGCACACTTTCATTTCACTACTTTGATTCCTTATCTTTTGGTCCAAGACCTTTAGATTCACCAAAAATTTTCTTGGCAACTTTTTCGACCTTCGTAGCCATTTGGTCTAAAATGATGTTAACACTATCTTGTGCATCTCAACTACCCTCTTCTACTGACTGTTTCTGGAAGTCCAATTGTTTCTTATCTTTAAGTAGCTACCACTTAATTCTTAGAACAATAATTTGTTGAATTATCTATTTACTAGTCTTGAAACGAACATTAAGGATCAAGACCCAATGTTGTATAGTAAGACTCGCTCTTGGAATCACTTTACAAATTCTTTTGTCTAGGTTCTTACCAAAAAGAAATCTATCTACAACCTTGAGATTCCACTCTTGAAGGTGATAAGATGTTCCTCCTCCTTAAAACAAGTGTTTATAATCTTAAAGTTGTAAGCCATTGAAATATCAATAATAAATTGTCCTTCTGTATTTAACTCTTCAAAACCACAACCACCATGAACCCTTGTAAATTGTCTTGCCTCACAACAACATGATCATTTAAGTATCCACCTATTAAAGTCTTTTCAGTTTGTGGGATGTCTTGGATCAACTTCTTTTAAGTCTTCCCAAAACTTTACTTTCACAAGAGCTTTCAAGCCAACTTGTGGAGCATATGCACTAATGATAAAAAGTGTCTTGTGCAACTATTGATTTCAAGGACATGATCTTGTGTCTAATCCTTTAATCTCTACCACGTTCTTTTTCCAACTATTATCCACAATTATGCCTACTCCGTTCTTTTCTTTGACTTTTCTTGTGTACCAAAATTTTAAATCTATAGTACCAAACTCTTTAGCCTTATCTCCAACCTGTTTTGTGTCTTGGAGGCACATGATGTTAATCTTTCTACGAATCATAGTGTCCACCACTTTCTTGTTAAAGTACTAATATTCCATGAATCAAATCGAGACACTCGTTCTTGGAATAATTTATTTACTCACATTTGTTCAACCAAATGTGAGGACCTTTGCCCATTTAACATTGCATTCAGGCACTAATGCAGTGGATCTAACTTATTTGACAGTGTACTTGAGCCATAAAAGTTACTTTTGGGTAACAACCTAGCCGTAGTACAATACCATCATGAATAATCCATATAAAAGGTTTTGACAAGTTTTACGTTGACCGCCAAAGACCTAACACAACCCTCCTCCTTTACCCGAGCTTGGGACCGGTTATGGGGCCATAGGAGGAGTTATAGAACAGATTGAGAATTTGGAACATAGAAAAAAGGACGAGTGACAAAACTGAGATAGAGGAAACGCATGAACCTTTCTTCTACTCAAAGATATTTGTGAAAACTGAGAGTAGAGGGAGGCTATATGAACAATCAATAGAGCAGATACTTACAAAACAGAGAATGATATGTCCGGGGTTGGCTAGAAACATCAGGGAGCAGTGGATGCTGGTGGTGTGGTTTGTGCAAGTTGAGAGAGCAGTGTGTGTTGTAAGAACAAAATTTTGGGCAAAATTTTGAACCTGACAGACTGTTCAGATAAAAGGGGCAAAATGGTGAAAAATAGCTCTAAACAATTGTCTTACAACATCACAAAATGGAGACAAAAAGGGGTCTTAGCTTTATTTGAGCGTAGTGGCTGCAACAGCCACAAATCGCCATAATTTTGGACAACGCTGAGTGCAAGATGCACAATGTAGAAACCCTCAGTGATACTGTTTCTGTAGTGGGTGCTGGCCCCAATGCAACACAACATCACAATATTGGCACTATTACATGCCATTTTTAACTCTGGCCTAAACCAGGCAAAACAAGGGTATATAATACTAATATATGTTAATTACAATCATAATTATATGAATAGTTATTTCCTAAGGTTGCCCATTATAATATATTATTTACCAAGGTTGCTCAATAATTTGGTAGAAGTCTTTTGCAGCTGCATTTCATATCTGATATTTGTTGCACATTGATCATTTATTTTTCCATTGTTAATTTGTGTGCTTTTTTTTAATTGTCTTGTTTCTACCTTAACTTTCTTTTTGTATACATTTCAGGCCCACTATATGTTGGGGCTTGCATTGCTACAGAAACAAGAGTCTGCCAAGGGAATCAGAGAATTGGAGAAGGTTTGTTGATGTTAAACAACTTTTCTGTATGATTCTTGCACATTTTTATTTCGTTTTATCTGTTGCAAGAAATCATCTAGTGCTGTATTGCCTTTTAGTAAGATTCAGTCTCACTGTTGTAGTGTTATTATACAATGTTTGTTGCCTAATTTTTGTTTGCGATTTAGTGCATGTAAGAATTTCATACAATTGAGAAATGTCACAGCACAACCCAAAAGCAAGTATTAAATGATAACAAAATCATTTATTAATCCCAATGACATTTTATGGTTTACCGTGGGATTTGTTGTGGACTAGTGGTTTATTCTACACATTAAAACTAGTACTTTGTTCGGAGTCTTTTTGAGTGAAAGCTAGTTTGGTTAGGTTTCTTGAAAGGAGATAGCTTCACCTTTCATTTTTTTTCAAAATGTTACCATTGTATATACTACATAACTGCTCTTCAGTTAGCTCAAAGTGACATATTCATAACACTCATACATGCTATATGAAAATGGTCATTGGGGACTATCTCTTTGTTAAGTCTTGTGATTTCAAACTTCTGGGATGAGTTGTGAATAATATATACGTACATGTCAAATGTAAGGCACAAAATGTGCACTCAAGTCATCGCCTAAAGATTGAACTATTTTATAGAAGTAGGGAAACAAAAGACTAATTTACCTGCCATGTTATATGCTGCTTATTTTGAATTATGAATACAATATGGAGAATTTATAGGATTGATATGGTGGACAGGTGAGAAAGAAAATAATATTGGATTGATATGGTGTATAGACGTGATTCAAAATAAAATACTAGCATAGGGTTTCTATGAATTTATACTAATAATCTGGTCAAGTAGTAATAATAGTATAGGCATTAACAGCTGGTTGTTATGGAGAATATCAAGCCTTCATGGACCATTTTTTTTTATTTTTTTAAAATGAATGTCAGAGACATGGAACAGAATGGATATAGTAAGAAATAAAACCATGTCAGTTGCCAGAGAATCAAGACTGGGATATGGACTATGGGGAATTTCAGGGTGTAGTGAACCTTTCCAGTGATAATAAAATAAACTTTTGCTATTTCAATTTATCAGAAAGTGTAAATATTTTTTGCGGGTATTTCACTGAGCATTTTTGGAATGAACTTGATGAGCTATATCCTATTACCTTGGGGAATTTATTCAGGAGAAGTTCTTCTAGAAGAGGGCCACTTTACTATGATAAACCTTCAAGACTGTTTTGGTCATTCAATTTATCAGGAAAAAATCACATTGTGGCAAATGGGAACTTATTTGGACCCCTGTTTACCATGGGGGGAGAGGGGAGCCAGTGCATTTATGTGAGGGACAATTTTAGACTCATGTTTAACCAGTGCCCAATAGTTGCCTGCTTGAGTTGTTCTGCTTTGCTTGTGTTTCTTTCTTTAGTCTTTTTATTTCAGTGTCCTTATCTTTTCTTTGTCACTGGGGTTTCTACCTTAATAAAAATTACTAATCGGATGGAAAGATTGTTTGATGATATTGCCTTATTTTCTCTGTGCTGCATTCTGAGACATTAACAGTAATTTTACTCTTGGTTTTTCAAATGATGATTCTCATATTGTTTGTGGTCATAATTAAGGCTTTGGATCTTGGGAGAGGTGCCAATCCCAAGGGCTATATGGTAGAAGAAATATGGCAAGAACTTGCAAAGGCTAAATACCTAGAGTGGGAACGATCATCATCCAAACGATCATGGGAATTGCAGAGCTTGAAGTATGTTTTCCTGGTGAATGTCAGACCTATTATCTGAGGGTCCTTTAGCAATGATTGCGGTTCAGTTGTTTTTGTCATTTCTGTTATTGGCTAATGCCTAATTTGTTTTTAGTGCGCCCACCGTCAATTATCTGTTTGGTGATTTATAGTTTTTGTTTCAAGTGTTATTGTCATAAAATGTGTTAATGTTGCAGAGAAGCTTGTGAGTCTGCTCTAAAGGAAAAACATTTTCTCGATGTCTCCCAAATGGAAGGATTAGTAGACGATGCTACTACTTCCCATTTGGAACAATTAGAGGCTTTAGAAAGAGCCTTTAATAAAGCTGCAGAGGATGACACACCTAGTGAGGTGTGTAGATGGGCTTTTTTCTTTTTTTTTTTAAATTCTATCTTCATTAAAGCTTCTTCATTTGGTGCTCAGAAATTGCTATGCCATTAAACACGCCGATTGGCTTGTTGAGTCTACAGGTGCCAGATTATTTATGCTGTAGAATCACGCTGGATATTTTTCATGATCCTGTAATCACTCCAAGTGGGCTTACATATGAGAGGGCTGTGATTCTTGATCATCTTCATAAGGTAACCTGATTTGAATGTTTCATTTTCCGTATTAAACGTTTTCCATTTCAATGAAGTCAGTGTTCAATAATTTAACTTGTAAAATAGGTGGGTAAATTCGACCCAATCACACGGGAACCCCTTGATCCATCACAGCTAGTGCCGAATTTGGCCATAAAGGAAGCGGTCCGGTCATTTTTGGACAAACACGGTTGGGCCTACAAGGTAGATTAACGGTAGATTAAGTACCAAGTTAACAGTGTGGTAGTTTTGTTTGTTCAGCAATGCAGCAAGGTGCTGTATTCTGCAAGCGTGGCCAAGTTGTTTGATTTAAATTATGTTTGCAGTTTCCTGGCGTCCGGACTTATAACAACCATCTTATTATGAATTGTATATATGGTTGACTGTCATAAGTTGTGTAAATAGTAATATATATAAATCCCTGCTTAGACCTCTTTTTTCATTTGTCTTATCAAATCAGAATATTAAATCCATCCTTAAGACTTCTGAAACGGCATAATGTAAGAAAGCATATTAACATACTTAGCAAATTTTGACATCATTATAACTTTGATCAATTGGTATAAATCAATTTCTAATTTTTTTACAGAGATTAAAATGTATTATTTTTTATTTAAGAGTAAAAATGAAAACGTGTAATGTATGGGACTAATTTTTTTATCAAATGTTTTATGGTTTATTCTGATTCCTAAATAACACTTCCGAAATTATTCTGTTATCTAGTACCAAAACCACTCATCTTCCTTTGTGTTCCTTGTATCTTATCTTTCAAAATTACATTTTTTTTTCAGTCTGTGTAGTGATTTGGTTTTTAAACAATTATAATGAAAATGAACTTGGGAATACACTGTTTTATAAAGATATAGCATCACTTAAAATTTACTTTTCTACCGAAAATTTGGAGTAACACTATTAAAACTCGAATTTATTTATTTTAGAAATAATTAGTGTTCAATACTTGAAAGATTCATATAAATTGAATTTTTATTTTTTCGTGATAACCTGGTCACCAAGAAGCACTAAGAAGAGGACAGAATTGGAAATTTAAATTTCAAATCAAAATTTATCCTAATAGAAATTGGTGTAGCATAAGAAGTTTTTTGTTTGAGTTGCGTAAAATATTAGGGTGTAAGATTTTGACTGTGGTATGTTGTGTAAATGGTAGTTTAGCTAATTGTGTGAATACATATCAATGCCTTCTGAGACATCCTCTTCGTTCCTCTTATCAAATTTAATATAATCAATGAAACTATGCATATCAGTCAGTCAACAAGGTCAATTGAGTTTGCAAGGAAAAAGCATACGCCAATATCCAACTGTAGATGTAAAATCATAGACATAAGCTGTAGTTAGGAAATAATAGTTAAAATGCACTTCATGGAAATCATTGACCTATATCTGCTAAAATTGGATACACCCACCTATGTGCAAACATGACTATTCACACAGATATTTGTATTTCCAATTCTTCCATCTTTTCAATTTCAGACATACTACTACAATAAATTAATAATACCCACCGACCCTTTCTAGTCATACACTTTAATATCAAGTTTATATTTAGCTATAGCGATTACCCCAGTAGCAAGAGGGTACCAACCTTAATTTAAGGTATTACCCAAATATTTTCTGTAAAAATAAAGGCATGTGCTGCCCATCAATGCTCTGCGAGGAGAAAGTGATTTCAGAAATTCAAACCTCATGAATACCCAAAGTTGGTTGATCAAAATTGTAGATAGAATATCTGTTATCCAAAGAAAAAAATTTGGGAATCCAAGACAGACTTTGGCATGTCCAGCCAAAATTGTCTAAACCTCTACTCCAGTTGAATTTATACGTTACAATTTTGTTTATGAACCTTACAAAAGGCCTTTTCTTTGGCTCTTTCTGTGGACATTCACCTGATTATTGCTTTATTGGACTAAGTTTACTGCTCTCTATTTGTTTGGATATGCACCTTAGTATAGTACAGAGCTATATACGATACTCAAGCTGAAATTCCTAGAGCCACAAGGAGGTCACAATCAGAACTTGGGAAAAATAGGAATTACTGAACAAGAGACTCAATTGTACAATTAACTCTACACGCAAGTGGCTCTGAGATTAAAGGGAATTGGATTGCTTCTTTGAACATCTGCTGAGACTTCAGAGAATAAGAGGAGAGAAAAAAATTGACCAGAGCATTACAGGGAGGAGGAAAGAACTTCTACTCTCTGTCCCCATGTTGGAGGGGAAAAGAGAAGAAAAAATCAAGCCACAAATGTCATAATCCAAAAATCCAAATAGCTATTTTTTAAACTAAGACTAACAAAGAAAATGATATATTAAACAACAAACTATCCCTTGTATCTCTATTGCTCTGGCAGAATCAAACTCGAGGGTCAATCCATGCCCCTGCATGGTTCATCTTTCAAACTTAAGTTGTATTTGGATGTATATAAAAGAACATTCATTAAAATAAATTACTATACTGAAGAGATAAAATCTCACATGTAAGCAAGAGTTAGGAAATAGTCGATTTAATACAAATCATGCAAATGATTGACCTTCATCTGCTAAAAAATAGATACATCGTCATCCACCAATGTGCAAACATAACTGACGATTCACGCGTGAAAATTTCCCTTGCCAAATCAAATTATTTTTATATTTCCAATTCTTCCATCTTTAATACTACAATGCATTAATGATGCCCAGCAACCATTCTCTATACAATTTAATATCATATTTCTTTTTTGGTATAGCAATTTCCCCAGCACAAAGAGGGGACCAATCTTAATTAAAGGTTTTACCCTAATATTTTCTGAAACTAAATAAACGCAAGAAATGTTCTGCACATCAATGCTATGCAAGATGAAAATGATTTCATATATTCCAACTTATGAATATCCAAAGTTGGTTGATTAAAATTGTGGTTAGAATACCCTGTAATCCAACAAATATTTTCCTACAGTATTATTGCATTATGCCTTGTCTAGAAACCATGAGGTCTAGAACAAAGTAAAATAAACTCTTAATAAGATTTTATGAACCACATTAATGAAATTTTCCTTTATATGTGTAACATAGGATAGTCTCCCCTCTCTCAAAGAAATAGTATGGGAATCCTAGACTAGGACTTTGGCATGCCCAGTCAAAGTTGGTTGAAACCTCTACTGCAGCTGAATCTTACACATCACAATTTTCTTTAGGAATCTTGCTATGGTTTTTTTCTTTGGCTTAGGAGAAGTCTCCATTTCCATGTCATTTTTCTTTGGCTCTTTCTTTGGCTTAGGAGAAGTCTCCATTTCCATGTTAGTTTTCTTTGGCTTAGGAGAAGTCTCCATTTCCATGTCATCTTTCTTTGGCTTAGCAGAAGGCTCTGCTAGTTTGTCAATTGATTCATCATACATTAGATAGACAGTTGTTCTCTTTACTTCCAATCCTTTCCCAAAAGTCACAAAAATCTCCACTTTGTCACCAGATCCTAGATGTGATATTAAGCCCTGCCAATCTTCATCATTAAAGGAAATTACTGTGTCTCGCTTATATATCTGGATGGTGCACTTTGTGTAATTAACCATTATGACACTAATAAGATATTCAGATGCTGTGTTTTCAGGAGTTGATGAATAAATGACACACAAAGTCATTCCCTTCAAGTGACAATCCTTAGGCACGCTGAAATACACTGAATTTCCATCACCTGTATGGGTCAACCAGTAAGGATCATTGTCACCTGGGAGAAAAACATCACAAGACTCGTTGGTTGCCAATCCCTGTACCATGAGCCAAAACACCTTTGTCAGTCGTACAATTCAAATGGACTTCTTCGACCACTATTTTTTCATTCCAAATTACAAAAAAGAGCATTTTAAAAAAATAACAACATACCACATAATAAAGAAAAGCATATATGTCATTAGTAAGAAAATCTGGTTAACAGTTTTGTTGCGTATCCATCAGCAGCAGATCATTATTAGGATTCATGTTGGTTTATGCCATACAGGACTTTCAGCTTATATTTCAATTATTTTTTATGATCAATGGAAACATAACAAATATGAAGCAAGTGTAGCAAGAACAAAGTGGAAATCAATTTCCCAGTGATTAATACAAGCATGATAACTTGGCTTGTTGCATATTAAAATACTGAAATTTTAAATGAAGCAATGTAATTATAGAAGTGAAAGATTCAAAAAGAAGGAAATTATTGAAGTTTCCTGTAGATATTTCATGTTCATTAATAGCAAAATTGAATAGTAGTAAAGGTAAATAGATTGAGAAAAAGAGAAGGAACCTCAGATATGCTTTTACTGAGAGCGTTGAAGACTTCTTGGTAACTTCCAATTCCAATCAAGTAAGACCTCAAGGAGTGATTTGAAATTTGTGATGAATATGATGTTATTTCTAATTCAGTAAAATTTACACCATATACATCATCCAAAATTGTTCTTAATTGTTTAGATAGTTGAAATTCTGTTTCACATAGCATCAAAACACTTCGCAGATTTGAAAGGCTACCAAGAATTGGTGCTATATCACCCATATTATTATTCTGCACATCCATGGAAACTAGAGATGATGATATGCCACTAAACGGTTGAATATGAGATAGCGGATTCATTGTTGGTGACATCCAAGACCAAATGATAGAAGGAAAAACATTGCGTGATAATCCTTCAAATCCACATAGGGATATGTATCCAATGCTTTTTGATCTTACTATGGAAAATGGCACATGTTTCACAGCAATATTTTCTGCAATTAGAGTTGTCAAGGATTCCATCTGCACTATATCTTCTTCTAATTTGTCAATCTTTAAACAACCAGAAAGGATGAGAGTTTTCACAGATTTCAACTTATAAGTCACTCTTGGGAGATTGCTTAATTTCGTACAGTCCTTCAAATTTATTAGATGAAGATTGTGGAGATCTCCAATGGACTGGTGTACCTTGCACAAACTTGGACAATCTTTGAGAATGAGTTTTTCAAGATTTGGCATTTTTGAAAAGTCAGGGGTTTCTGTCAAGTACTTGGAATGACTAAGATTGAGTATTTTTAGCCAGCCCAGAACCTACAAAAATAGTTTTTTTGACAAAAAAATTAGAGAAGAAAATGGAAAAATGAAATAGTGGTATCTTGAAGCAATTACTATTTTAATTAAGCAATGAATTTCAAAAGAAACGACATGTGAGATATACCTGGGGTTCTTTCCAGAGTAGTTTAAGATTACTGTGTTTTACATCGATTGCAATTACATTTTCCAGACAAAAGTTGTTAGGTAGGTGTTTTAAAGGAAATCCTTGCCAATAAATCCACCTTAGTTTCTTAGAAAGATATCCATAATCTCCAGTGAGTTGTACATGATCAAGTTGCAACAGTCTCAATCTCCTCATTTCCTCAAAAGCATTAACTTTAAAGCAATCTCGGCTGGTTAAATGCAACTTCAGAGCCAATCCCTCAACAGCTTCTGTCCCCTGTGATGCAAAGAGAAGATAAAAATAACCATGGAAATCTATTGTGCGCTCTCTAGAAAGTGACACTTACAGCTCAACCTAGCTACACATGCATTGAATATGAAAAAGGAAATATTTACAAGAGAAGTTTCAAAATCGTATATAAAGAATGTTCTTACATTGTTCTTTGTCAATACATCAAGTACATCCTCATGAAACCACAACCGGCTGCGCTTCCCAGGTTCTCTTGCTGAAGTTTCACGAATAATCTCTCTTCCCGTGTCTCGTAGCAAATCATGCACTCCCAGTTTGTTGTTCTTTTCAACTTTTATGAGGCTACGCTCTATAAGAACTGTTATTCCAATATCAGCACGCAGTCCACATCCATTTAATATCTCTGTGACATAGGCTCTGTCTTTACCAATAAAGAAGCAACATATGTCAAGAAATATATCCTTTTCCATTTGATCGCGTAAACCATCAAAGCTTATTCTTAATTTCTCTTGAACTCGATCATTGGGAATTATTTCTAGTTTTGACAATACACTGTTCCACTCTTTCTTTGTCCTTTGGTATAAATAAGCACCAAGAACTTCAAGAGCGAGTGGTAGTCCTCCACAGTAAGCAACAACATTTCTTGAGAGTTCCACAAACTCTTCTCTTGGATTTGCTTCCATGAAAGCATGCCAACTAAAAAGCTCGAGGGATTCATTTTTGTTCATTTCCTCCATTTGATAAACACAGTCAACTTGAAGTACATTAAGCAATCGTACATCTCTAGTTGTAACAATTATTACACTTCCTTCACCAATCCATCTACGGTTTCCACATAGAGCTTGTAATTGCTCAAACTCAGACACATCATCAAGTACAACAAGTAACCTTTTTCCACGAAGTCGTTTCTCAATTATAGTTGTGCCCATTCCGATGCTATGTATCTTTATCTTTGTCATCAGGACATCTGCAAGAAGTTGTTCTTGTAAATGAATATGACCTTTACCATCCTTTTCACAGACTTCTCTAATATTTTCAATGAAACTTCTATCCTCAAAATCACGATGAATTTGGTTGTAGATAGCTTTGGCTGTGGTTGTTTTACCCGACCCTCCCATTCCCCAGATTCCTACTATGCAGACTTTGTTTGATTGATTTTCAATGAATTCAATCACTTGTTGTGTACGGGCTTCTAATCCAACCGGAAATTCTGTTATAGACAATAAGGTGTTGTCTAGTTTGCTCAGAACCATCCTAACAATTTCTTTCACCAAGTCACCTTCACTCCTTCAATAATAATAAATTGAAAGTGAAATTTTAAAACAGATATAAAAACAATTCGTAAAAGTGATAATGCTGAAAAATTGTTGAATAAAAACAGGGCTAAAGAAAATAACTTGTCCAAAATTAATGACTCAACAAATAGTAAATTGAGACAATTGTTTAATCATTATAAACTAATATAATGACATTAATTATCAATTATAGTCCTTAATTTACATCCATACATAAGGTTAAGATTAGTTACAAAGAAAGCGAAAAAGATGAGTCCAAAGAGCAGGAATGTGCCAAATTTGCTAATGTGACTAAATGATAGAAGTTGAAGTAGTTTTGGCAGAATCTCAAGAGCTCTTATAATAGATACTTCATCTGTTTCTGAAAAATAGTCTTTCTACCTAATTTTTCCCCTCAAAATAATAGTCAAATTTACCCTTAAGATAATTATTATTTCAAAATCCATTTTCTATCTTCTCTCTCTTCATTTATTGCATAAACATATTTCAAAATGGATATGATAAAAATTCCATAATATTTTTAACAAAAACAAGATAATTAAATAGATTTTTTAGTTTTTGTGTCAGAACCTTAAACGACTAATTTTCAGTCACAAGCAAATGGATAAATAGATATCGAAATCGAGCGAAGCAACTTGAGTTAGGAGAAAGATTACAAGGCTAAAACATGTTTCATTCTCAAATAAAAGAATAAACTAGAAAGTGTTGACTTACCTATAATTCCTTAAATCCCAACCACACAAATTTGCAACTCCAGTGAGTGCACTCCTCCAACCAGACAACACATATTTCATGGCGCTCCCTTCGTATCTTTTTGGCGGAAAAGCTTCCAAAGCGTCTCCAAAAGCACCCTTTTGATGACGCACATCAGAAGGGTCAACATCGTAAAATATAGGCAGAACCACTTGTCCATAAGTGGCACGACACTGCATGATTTGTTCAAGTTCATTAAGACACCACGCAGACCGAACATAACCTTTGGAGAGAACAACGATTGATATATGAGACCCTTCTATTACTTGGAGTAGTTCTGGTTGCAACTCTGTTCCCTTTGGAAGCTTGTGATCGTCCATGAAAGTGTTGACTCCAGCATTTAAGAGTGCATTGTAGAGATGAGAAACTATGGTTCTACGTGTATCTTCTCCTCTGAAATTGAGGAACACGTCGTATATCCATATTGGATTTGAGGATGAAGCAGACATTGTTGGTGAATGATGAGAATAAAGTCAACGGTTAGAAGACACAGCCAAAATGCAAATTACACAGATGTGTCATCGAACTGGTCTTCTAGTTCTGCCTTTTTGTTACACCTTTGCTGCCACCAACTTTTTGTTTTGGCTTAAACACGCTTTTGACTTCACATTAGATAATTTTTAGTTTTATTCGAAGAAAAAATTTATAAAAAAGTAAAAATTAAAATAAAATAAAATTCCCTAAAATATAAGGAAAAAATAAATTTAAACCTATTGTTTTATATTTTTGTCTTGATCAATTAACGTGTTTCAACTTGAAAGCAAAGGGACACCTTCATGGATTTGAGAATGGGTCCATCATCAAACGGAATGACACGCACCGTTTTATAATAACAATAATAATTAAAATGTTACATTCAATAAAAGTAAAAATAATGGGTAGAAAAGGGAGTGAGCATCCACACCCCCTTCATTTCCTTATTCCTCTCTCCATTTAAGCCAATTTTATTACATCTACTCTTTAGTTTTTAAAATATTTTCACCGTTTTTGTACCCATTGACAACCAACTTAAAATATAAGTTTCCTATTTTCTTATCCTTATTTCTCTTGTTTCAAATTTGAGAATATTTGTAACAGTGTATTTTAAGGTTGTGAATGTGAAATTAGATGCTTCCTTCAATAGATTTGAGTGTTAGTGTTAAAAAAAGTAAAAATTCTAATCTTTAAATTTTCTTATGAGTTTGTAACAATAAGAGAAGGGGCAAAAGAGATATTAGCCAAGGATGAGGGGGAAGAGCACGTGAGCAAAGAAATAAAGTGGGTGAGGAGAAGCTCTCGATCTAAAATAACTAACACAAGATTGAAGGATTTTTATTGGCTGAAAGAGTAATATTTAATGAGTTGGTTGAGGAGAGAGAAGGGTGTGGAAGGAATTAATTGTGATCCATTTTCTCTTCGGATCTTTCTCTTTTTTTCATCATTGTCTTTGTTGTAATTCCATTATTTCTCTTTTTGCTTTTCTCCATTGAATGCTGCTTCTCTACTGTGTTTGTGCTATAATGGAGGACACTTTTATATTCCATTAATTGCCTCAACTATTTCATTAAATTCCTTTTCTATTCTACCTTTTCTTTTGATTTCCTCTATTACATTGGTGCTTTCATCACTTCATGGCCGAGAACACATGCATGAAGGAGGTCGCGGCAGATGTCAAAAGGATTCTCGAAATAATAGAATCTCATGATAAGGAGTATGCTGCTCAATTTGAAACTCTAGAAATGACATTGGAGTTGTCACTCAAGCAGAAATCTGGTGAAGATGTGAGCTCTTCTAGCAATCAGAACAATCAACCATTCTAGGTTAGAAGCGTGAAACTTGATTTCCCAGGTTTGATGGCTCTGATGTGAATTTTCAAGGCCGAACAATTCTTTAGCTATTACAGAACCCTAGACAATCAGCGTTTGATTATTGCTTTGATACATCTTAATAAGGATGTGGTTCCCTGGTATTAAATGATCACTCGTGACAATCCATTTTATTCTTGGACTACCTTCATAAGGGCCTTAGAGATAGAATTTGATCCCTCTCCATATGAATGTCTGAGATCTCAGTTGTTCAAGCTCACTCAATCTAGCAGTCCATGCTTATTATGTACAATTCACGGCACTAGCTAACCGTGTTCAAGGGATCACTCAGAAATCCTTATTAGATTGGTTTGTAGGAGGATTAAGACCTGACATTTGAAGGGATGTTATTGCTCAAGCACCAACTTCACTCCTTAAAACTATTTCGTTAGCCAAATTATATGAAGAAAAATATGTCCCTAAGTCCAGAACATTCACCTCAACTTTCTCATCCAAAACACAAGCCATAAACGCAAACCAAACCACCTCTCAGTCCTTAAAATCCACTAGTCTACCTCCACTGTTACCTTCCCCTAATTCCAAACCAACCAATGTCAAAAAGTTAACATCAACAGAAATGCAATTAAGAAAAGATAAGGGCCTTTGTTTTACTTGTGATGACAAGTTCTCTCCTAGCCATAGATGTCCTAATAAGTAGTATTTTGTCCTACAATGGGAGGAGGAGGATGAACTTGAGTTACAACCTGATCCCCCAGATAAAGTAGAAGTGGTTGTAGAAATACCATCTATCCTACAATGCACTAAAAGGCACTTCAGGACTGAGCACAATGAAATTTCAAGGGTCAATTAATGCGTTAGGAGTCCAAATACTATTAGAGAGTGGGAGCTCAAATAATTTCCTACTGCCTAGATTGGCTCAATATTTGAAGCTTCTTGTAGAACCAATTCCCAATTTACAGGTTTTGGTTAGGAATGGGAATTCATTGGTAGTAGGACTCATTCGAGGTTTGGAGGTAAAAATTCAAGGCCATACATTGAAGCTACTAGTATACTTACTCCCAGTTTCTGGACTAGACTTGGTGTTACGTGCAACATGGCTATCAACAATTGGACCACATCTTTCTGATTATAGTACCTCTACATTGAAATTCTACTTAGGTAATCAATTCATTACCTTGCATGGAAATAAATATTTGGTGCGCAAGTGTACTCGTTCAGAAGTAACAAAGGGTTCCTAAATTAAGTTCCCAAAATATTGTCTCATAAGGATTGATTTTCAATTACTAAGAATTTTCCTATTCAATTGTTTGAGCTTCAAATATATGAGATTAAATAAAATCAATTTAAAAAGTAGAATAAAGAACATAATGCACGTCTTGGTTGAACTTATCGGAGAGGAATCTAGGACATATGAATTTACTCATTCAATCCTTTATATTATTCTTCTATTTAATTCTAAATTCGATTTCCTTGTGATTACCAATTATTCATACAAATACTATTAATACTCAATGGTCATGCAATACAAATATTCTTTTCTCTAAATTAACATCCCTAATGGTCATGCAATACTAATATTCTTTTCTCTAAATCAATTTAAGAAAGCATAAATCACCTATAAACTTGTTAATTTAATAACTATTGGAAGAGAAAAGTAAACTAGAATGAGATACGTGTAACATCCTCGTTTTTCTAAACAGTTAATTTGTTAATATAATTATAATTTAGATTATAATTCTTCAATTTTTTTGGAAAAAAAATTATAATAAAAATAAAAATAAAAATAATTGCTCATTTATACCGGTTAAAATTGCTCTATGAGGATAAAAATAGCATTTTTAATTACGAAGAATTATTTTAAATAATAAAATTTATATTTTTAATTAGAAATAATATTTGGAGTGTAAAAGTAATTATTTTGGTAATTATTGCTTATTTTTAGATTTTGGTTGATACTGTTTTATGTGTTAACAGGAACTGTGTGATTAGTTTTTTTTCCTTTTTCTTTTTCTTTTTAAGTGATAACCAAGGAGATATTGATGTCAAAAATTATGTTATAATTATTTTAATTGTTTGGCATCAATTATTTTTATTTTTGAGTTTTATTCATAATTATTTTATTTAATTACATTAAAATAGCAAAATAATTGATTATTATATTATTATTTCTTTACCTATTTGACTAAATTGACCACTTTCTTACGTGAACCTTCTTCTTCTCCAAGTCCATAACCCCTTCTTCTCCCTTTCACCATTTTCATTTTCTTCCACTCATTTAAGCTTGTTTTAAGGTATGTTTTTAATATATATCCTTAATTAAGCTTAATTATTTGTTAATTATCATTTCATCCGATTAAAATTTTAATTTTTCCATGTTTTTTTGGCTGTCATGAACAGTAAAAAATGGGTCTTACTTTGCTTCAAAATTATTGGTTTTAAACTTGCTTTCTTTTGTACTATATGTAGACTATGCATGGCTTATATTGTTTACATAATTAGTTTTTCAAAAATGTGATTAAAAAGCACTAAACCCTCACAAGGGTTGGCTGCCATGTGGTTTTAGAGAAGGTGAAGTGAGTGTTTTTCACTTCCATTTTATTCCTTTTATTTTAGTTAGATGATAGAAACTAATTTTGTGTTAATCGGACTTTTATAGCAAAAGTTAGAAAATTTCAATTTTTACATATACATATAAGAGTATAAAATTAACATCTCCTTAGTATTAATTATGTTTAGGCATGATTAATTGATTAGGTTGATCGTTTCGAAGATTGGATTGTTCGAGTTTTTCTAAAGAATCAGAAAAGAAAAAATTCATCCATACCTTCATCAAAGAACATCCGTAAGGTAAGGGGTGAGATGATTTTATTTCAATAGGTGGCATTAAGAACCATAAGGGAATAATTCTCTATTGTTCTAATCAAATAAAATGAATTTGGGTTGTTTTAGAGCTAACCCATAATTTTTAGAAGATTTTGTTATAGTACTGGACATGTATGAAAGGTTGCCTTAGACCAGGAAATTGATTGAACAAGGACTCTCTCTTATATGTAAGGTCCTTTGTGTATTTAAATCAATGTATTGGAATGATTTATGGTTGAAGTGCTGTATTGAATTATTTCTTTATAATTGGTTGAATTCTCATTATGTGTTTGTGTAGATATTCTTGTTGGTATGAATGCCATATAATGGTAAAGATTGGAAGTAATTTCGTTTTATGTGATGTGAGCATATAGATTGACATAATCTAAATGTCCATTCAGACTTGTTGGAGAGAAGAAAATATGTTTTTAAGGTATATATATATATATATATATATATATATATAATTATGTATTTTATATATAGTACAAGTATCTTTTGACTTCTTTGGAAAATGGATTTAATAAAAATAAATAAATAAATTATATTACTGAGAAAGTAGTATTGGATATTTGGAAGGCTTGAATCATTTTTTTTAAAAATGATTAAGTCCTCAATTTTTAAGCATGAAAACATATTTAAAGAAAGAGGGGAAGATACGATTTTCTTGGATTTTGAGGTGGAATTTAATGAATTAGAAGTATTCTGGATTTTTTTCTGGTTATTTTACAGGAAGAAGAAAATTTTGGAATATCTGATTTACAGAGGAGACTCTGTCGAAT